GGGGGGGCAGAGAGCATCCATGGCATGTTGGCCACAGGCTCCTGAGACAGCCTCTCATGACAGGCTGACTCTGCCCCCCTTGAGGGCTGAACCTGCCCACCCAAAGCTATGTTTGTTTCCTCCTGTATCCCCCTGCCATGCTGAGCCTGCCCCCCTCCCCCCCAACAGAGCCCCTTGCCAGGCTGATCCTAAGCCCCCGGAGTCCCCTGCCAGGCTGACCCTGCCTCCCTGGAGCCCACTGGCACCCAGATCTGCCTACTCCCATAAGGAACAAATCTGCACCCAACAGGGCAAATATGTAGAAGTGTTCCCAGGGAAGGCTTACTGTGCTTTATTTTACCATGCAGTAAGTCTACATCACATTAATAGCATGTGTAGATACACCCTAGGAGTACAAAGAAATCTTGGGCAGAACAACTTCACACAGGCATAAGAGCAAAACAACGAGTAATAATATTACTATGCAGCAAACATGATTTTCAGACTGTTTTTTTAATTATTATTATTTCCAGAGCATGGCAGGTTTAGAGTTGTAGTAAAAGAGAAGGCAGGTCTGTTCAGCAGTATGGAGTTTATATTATTTATTAAAGCCCTGTATTAATCCAGGTCTCCTTCAAAGTGTATTTTAAGGTTTTCTCCATGCAAGGTGCTACATGGGAGAAAGGGGCTGGCTGGGAGGGCTAAGAATGTGAGATTTGCTGAGAGAGAAGCTGTTGAACTACAGGAGGTAACTAGCATGCAAAAATGAGGCAGTCCCTGACTTGTGCACAGATGTGCATGGATCCACTCTACTTTGTGCTGTTTGAGAAAAAGGTCTAGGTTGGTCACCATTCCTGTGTTGTGCAGCAGCCAGCCTGTCAGGAAATGGGTGTGCAGGGGAGAATGCAAGTCAGAGAACAGCCAAGTTAGGAGATGGGTGTGCAGATGGGAATGTAAGTCGGGGGACAGCCAAGCAGGAAGGAGGTAGAAAGAGCAGTCAGGGAGGTATCGAGAAGCTGGAATGACATTGGGGCAGCATGCAATTGGGGATTACCAACGGGGGGACTTAAGTGTCGATAAACAAACACTAGGAGTATGGGGAATAAGCAGGAGGAACTGCCACTTCTGCTAGCAAATAGGAAATATGATCTTGCCAGAATAACAGAGACCTGGTGGGATGCCACGCATGACTAGCCTATATGCATAGAGGGTTACAGGCTGCACAGAAGGGATTGGGTAGGGAAGAAAGGAGGAGGGGTAGCTCTGCATGTAAAGGAGCTGTATGCCTCCTTGGAGAGCCAAATTAGGTTGAGAGACAGGTGACTTAAGACCCTGTGCATCAGGATATGCAGGGGAGGAGGAGAAGGGGACTTGATAGTACATCTACTACAGATCACCATACCAGGAAGAGGGCTGGATCTGGAATTTTCAAGAAAGCTGATGGAAGCTGCACATTCAAGGGGCATGGTTGTCATGAGTGAACTTAATTATGCTGGGAGGAGCACTTGGCTGGATCTGACCAGTCACTTAGATTTTTTTCTTGTGTGGGAGAATTTACTTAGTACAGGAGGTGAACTGGCTAACCAGGGGAAAGGTTTTGTTGGATTTGGTTCTAGCCAAAGAGGAATACCTGGTAGGAGATCTGAGGATTTAGGCTAATCTGAGAGATAGTGATCATAAAATGACAGAATTCACTATCCATCATAGGGCAGGGAAGTCAGCCAGTAGGGCAGAGGTGCTTGATTTCAGGAAGGCTGACTTCAATGAGGGTCTCTCCCAAATAGTGGAAGAGACCCTATGGAAGTGGGACTGGGAGTTCAGGAAGGGTGGTTGTTCCACAAAGGCATGATCATCAGAGTGCAGAAAGATCCATTCCTGATGCAGGAAAGGTGGATCTGGGACGCCCTCTTGGCTTGTAAGAGGAGTCAAAGATTGCTTAAAAAAAGAAAAAGAAGGCTTACAGATAGTGGAAACAAGGGATAGTCACCAAGGAGGAATACACAAGTAGAGCCCATATTTGTAGGGAGATTATAAGGAAGGCAAGAGCAGCGAACAAGATCCAGTTAGTAACCAAAATCAAGGACACTACAATGTCCTTCTAGTTGATAACAGACAGCCAGGAGAAAGCTGGAGAGGGAGTACTTATAGTGACTGAATGTCTTCAAGTCAGCAGGGCAGGATGGACTACACTGAGGTGCTGAGGAAATTGGTTGGAGTCATTACAGAACCTTTGGCAAAGATATTTGAAGACTTGTGCAGGAGAAGTCCTGGAAGACTGGAAAAGGGCCAATGTGGTGCCAATCTTTAAGCAGAATAGGGGGAGAATGCAGAAAACTATAGTCGAGTCAGTATGACCTTGATACTGGGTAACATTTTGGAAAAAAATTATCACAAAGTCCATTTGTGAGAGACTGGCAGAAAGCATAACGCTGAAGGGTAGCCAATATGGTTTCATTGTGGGACGGTTATGTCTGACCAACCTCATCTCCTTCTATGATCAAGCAACGAACTGCATAGATGTAGGAGATGCAGTTGAAGTCATGTACTTGGATTTTAAAAAGGCCTTTGTTATGATCTCCCATGACACTGTTCGAAAAAAAAAAATGGGGGATTTTGGGCTGTCAGAGTCCATGGTCAGGTGGGTTGGGAACTGCCTAAGGGGTCAAACCCTGAGAGTTTTAGTGGACCAGTCTGTATTGTCTTGGTGGGAGGTGGGCAGTGGTGTCCTGCAGGGTTTGTTTCTTGGCCTCATGAATTTATCAATGATTTAGATGAGGATGTGGAAGGCATGCTGGCCAACTTTCTGGATGATACTAAGTTATGGGGGAAAGCGGGCATTCTAGGGCATAGGATGCAGATCCATGTGGATCTGGACAACCTGGGAAGGTGGGGAGAGAGGAACCAGATGCAGTTTAATATGAATAAATGCAGAGTGCTTCATCTGGGGAGAAGTAACCAGAGACATAAGTATAAGTTAGGAGGAGATGTTCTGTCCAGCACAGTGGCTGAAAGAGACCTTGAGGTTATGATTGATCACAGGATGAACATGAGCCGCCGGTGTGACACTAGTCAGAGCTAATAGCATACTGGGATGCATTAGCCAATGCATTGCAAGCAAGGCTAAGGAAACAACATTTCCTCTCTACTCAGCATTGGTAATATCCCAGCTGGAGTACTATGTCTATTTCTGGTCACCACACCTCAAAAAAGGCATGGAGAATCTTGAAATGGTCCAGAGAGGGGGCCACAAGAATGATTAAGGGCCTGGCAGACAAACCTTATGAGGAAACACTAAGGGATCTGGGACTATTCACCCTGGGGGAGAGAAAACAGGAGCCGGGGGGGGGGCTTAGTGGCTGTCTGTAAATATGTAAGGGGTGAATATCAGGAACTGGGAGAAAAAACTGTTCACTAGGGCACCCCTGGGGAAGACAAGGAGCAATGGCCATAAACTGTTAGAGGATAGTTTCAGGTTGGATGTAAAAAAGAACTTTATAGTATTCACCAACCCCCACTGCAGTAGTCTGCTGGGTGTGGAGGAAGGAGAAAACGGAACCTTCTTAAAACTGCTGCACCAATGGTACTTATGGTGGGACTGGCAAAAGCAGTGCATACCAAACATGAGTCCACAAGCAAATGTGGGTCTCACTAAGTAAAGTGGGCAGCAGACAAGGATTCTAGCTGGGATCTGAGTTTAGACTCCCATTGTTGTCAATCCCATGCTTCCCTTTTTGTTATGGTGCATCCTTCCTAATGGACAAAGTTTTCCTTATTTATCTCTCTTCTCTCAACCCTTTTTCTGTTGAACCTATTGGTCTTTATTCCCAAGATACAGGATACTACTTCAAATTCGATGCAGTCTGGCCACGTCTACATGAGATGCAGAGTGCACAGTAGCCTGATATTACTGTG